GAGAGTTGCGAAATGCCACATGGGAGGTTAATTAGAGTAGAGTTTACGTTTTGACAGAGAATTGGCAGAGTGAAGAGGAACGGATGCAAGGAGGAAAGGAGGCAGCAAAAGAACAAGAAAGAACACAAAACAAAAGCCGTAGGAGAGGGGATGGGGGAGAGAAGAAAGGAACAGAGGTATTCTGTCATTACTCCAATTTCTCACTTGTTTCTCCAGTCAATGATGCTCCAGTCGTTGCTGCTCCAGTTGCCTCGCCAGCCACTGCAGCTGCTGCCGCTTTCCTCCTGCTGTCACTGCGACCTCTGCCCATGCTTCTCCCGTCGCTGCTGCCACTGCCACTCTACTCCTGCAGATGCTGCTGCTTCTGTCTCTGCTGCTCCGTCTTTTCCACCACACCTTAATGTTGCCTGCACAGCGACCAGAGAGGCAACGGAGAAAACGGTTGAGAACACGAAAGCCATAAAAACAATGAAGGCAGAGGAACGCGAAGGAGGAGGGAGAAGGGAGGGGGGAGAGAAGAAAGGAACGGGGGTGTTCAGTCACGGCTCCAGTTACTTACTTGCTGCTCCAGTCGCTTCCGCTCCTGTTGCTGCTGAAGCTCCAGTCGCTGCAGCTCCACCACTTCAATGATGCAGTCACGCCTTGGACTGCCATAGCGCCATGGACTGCCATACGCCAACGCTACTCCTCACCAACGCTCGTCCTCTCCTACGCTCGTCCTCTCCAACGCTCGTCCTCTCCAACGCTCGTCCTCTCCAACGCTCGTCCTCTCCTTCGCTCGTCCTCTCCAACGCTCGTCCTCTCCAACGCTCGTCCTCTCCAACGCTCGTCCTCTCCAACGCTCGTCCTCTCCAACGCTCGTCCTCTCCAACGCTCGTCCTCTCCAACGCTCGTCCTCTCCAACGCTCGTCCTCTCCAACGCTCGTCCTCTCCAACGCTCGTCCTCTCCAACGCTCGTCCTCTCCAACGCTCGTCCTCTCCAACGCTCGTCCTCTCCAACGCTCGTCCTCTCCAACGCTCGTCCTCTCCAACGCTCGTCCTCTCCAACGCTCGTCCTCTCCAACGCTCGTCCTCTCCAACGCTCGTCCTCTCCAACGCTCGTCCTCTCCAACGCTCGTCCTCTCCAACGCTCGTCCTCTCCAACGCTCGTCCTCTCCAACGCTCGTCCTCTCCAACGCTCGTCCTCTCCAACGCTCGTCCTCTCCAACGCTCGTCCTCTCCAACGCTCGTCCTCTCCAACGCTCGTCCTCTCCAACGCTCGTCCTCTCCAACGCTCGTCCTCTCCAACGCTCGTCCTCTCCAACGCTCGTCCTCTCCAACGCTCGTCCTCTCCAACGCTCGTCCTCTCCAACGCTCGTCCTCTCCAACGCTCGTCCTCTCCAACGCTCGTCCTCTCCAACGCTCGTCCTCTCCAACGCTCGTCCTCTCCAACGCTCGTCCTCTCCAACGCTCGTCCTCTCCAACGCTCGTCCTCTCCAACGCTCGTCCTCTCCAACGCTCGTCCTCTCCAACGCTCGTCCTCTCCAACGCTCGTCCTCTCCAACGCTCGTCCTCTCCAACGCTCGTCCTCTCCAACGCTCGTCCTCTCCAACGCTCGTCCTCTCCAACGCTCGTCCTCTCCAACGCTCGTCCTCTCCAACGCTCGTCCTCTCCAACGCTCGTCCTCTCCAACGCTCGTCCTCTCCAACGCTCGTCCTCGCTCCGCGCGTTCCGTCGTAGCGCCAGCTGCATCACCCCCGTCATTGCCAGCTCCTCTCGCCAGCAGCAACGCCAGTCAGCCATCTCCTCTCGCCAGCAGCAACGCAAGCAAGCATCTTCTTGGCAAGAGACATCGCTCCAGCTCCAGTTCACTGCAGCATCACTCCTGCACGGACAGAGACATCAATTCACAACATGTGAGACATCAAGACCGTCGAATTAACAGAAACGAAACGCGATCGTCAGAAGACTGAGCGGAATGTCCAAATTGAACGGAAACGAGACACAAGCATCAAGCGAGCAGCAAAAGAGCAACTGGAGGCACTCCTCTTCAATAAATCGTTTCCTGAGAACAGGCGTCTGGGCTTTGCACGAAAACTCACACAGTAGTAGCGGTGCGAACGACGACGTATTCGCGTCGTTCAATCCACGAAGCTGCTCCTCCGTCGATCAAGATAGTGGCACTTCTCCCGCTCCAGCTCTTGGCGAGAGGCAGTTCACGGCCTCCTGTGGGCGCAGCAGCAGCACCGTTCCAGCTCCAACGAGGTAGCAGCACCACTCCACCTCCAACGCCAGTCAGTCATCTCATCTCGCCGTGGAGCAGCGCACCAGGAAACCAGCTCCCGCTTCTGCACGGACGGATGGAGACAGCAGAAGTCGCAGCCAGTGAGATACCCCATGATTGGAATGGAACGGAAACGGAAATACGCCAGACTGAAAGAAGCGAAACGGGATTGCCAAAAGATCAGAAAATAGCGACTGAAAGAGATAGATTAAAGCCAGGGTCTCAAGTAAAACGAGTGTTTTGCAGTTGGCGGTAGGAGGTTGACTGAGATTGGTTGGCGAGGTCCAAGTTTTGAGGAGGGGTGAAGCGAAGGTTGCGAAGCGGATACAAATCGTTGGTGTGCGTCCGAACCAATTAGGCTCGGAAGTTGGTGTGGGCCGAAGCTGAAATGCCAGCAACTTCCCGACAGCCCAGAAAGTCCCAAGTAAAAAGCAGAATGTTTTGCAATTGCTCGTGGGGCAAAAACTGGGGTGTGTCGCACACTACTTCCCAGGCCAACCAGTCAGCTCGCCAGCTACAAACAGAGTAACGGAGGGTCGAGTGTTTTGCAGTTGACGCCAGATTCACTTACTTGAGACCCTGGCTTTAACCCTAAGAACACGTTGCCTAAAAACAAGCGTTCGGGGTTTGGATGGACGAAATGTTACCACAACCAGGTAGCGGCGCGAACGTCGACGCATTCGCGGCCACGAAAACGGCGCCTTCGTTAGCTCTCGCATCGGCGAAATTTACAAGGCCCGCATTTTCGAATGAACGTGGCGAGCGTCGCACGGTTGTCGCGGGCTCCTCCGCCGTCGCATCACGACGGATCTCCTTTCCACCGTAGTGAGAGCATCTCCCGACGCTCCTCCGCCTCCGTCGTCCCACCATCGCGAGCGTCGACGGCCTCGCGAGCTCTTCCGGTTCGACCAAGAGTAGCGGAGGCGACGAACAATGCTACTCCGTCAGCATTTCGCGAGCTTGGTCAGAGCAGCCGAGAGCATCCGCGTCGACGAAGACGTCCACCGTCGATATCCGTCATGCATCCACCGTCGATATCCGTCATGCATCCACCGTCGATATCCCTGCATCCTTGCATTTGCGAGCCTTCGCGAGCGTCGACGCATTCACGTACCGTCGCCTCTTCTCAAAACTGCTGGAACCTTATTCGTCACGTTTCACGTCGCAGTGTTTACGTCGGACGTCAGCGTAGTAGTAGCGTCGGTTGAAAGTGGTGTTCAGACGTCAGATGTCTTCGCGTGTCTACGCTGGACGTCAGAGTCGGACCGTATTAGTTGTTGAGAGCGTAGTCATCAGCTATCGACATCAGCGTCGCGTCGCGTCTTCGGAGGAGACAACGAATCGTTGTTGGACCATGCATGCTTGTTAAAGTAAGATGCTGCGAGATTCGCATTCTTGAAGATGCTATATGATTCAGTCTATACGAATCAAACTCCTCCTCTTCCGTCGCAACATCGCGAGCGAGAAATGCTGAATCGCATCGTCCTACGAAGAACCCTAACCACGCGAACGGCGTCGTAGGACGAAGCATGACCGACGGGAAACGTCATCGCGGAAGGAATGTTCAGGTTGCGAGCGCGACACGAGATAATGTCTCACGAAACAGCTGATGCGCGTCGAGAACCTGACGTCTATCAATAAGAGCTGATCGAAAACTGAAGTGATGGGATATCAGTCAATGACTTCTAGCTTCTAGATTCAGACTAGGAATAACAATAAGAGCGGATCGAAGGGATTGATCTTGATCGATGGGATCTCATCCGATGATTCCTAGGTTCTAGTGATGATGGAAGTAACGAACTGATCGTCGTTAGAATATATCCACGCGATGATCCGCATTCTACCAAATGGTCGTCCAGAAAACGATATGACGGTCGTCCAGAGCAGAGCGTTTTGACCTAAAACCCAAGCTTAGCTCAAGCGATAGCTAGTTTTGACGCACGAGTCACTACTGAAGTAGCGGCCATGGACGGACGGGCCGAGTTAGCAAGCGCGCCTGAGAGAACTCGCGAGCAGGACTAAGCTAGAGGATCGTGGAAAGGGATGGGAATGGAATGGAGACGGTGAGAAGCCACGGCATCCGCGATGCAACAGAGTCACAAGGCGGAAGGCAAGTTGAGGTGGAGGGGAGAGAGGAGAGCTGAAGAGAGATGTGAGGGGAGGGAAGCGAAGAGTCGAGTCGCCATGCAAGCCGAGGGAATCCCAAGGCGGGAGACGCCGCTGCAGAGTCGGGTTGCGGGAGATTTGCGCTGACAAGGCGGGAAGCTTTGGGGAAGTTGGCGGAGGGGTTGCGGTGAACGGCGGGGAGCCGCGAAGGCTGGCGAGTGGTTTGAGCTTTCGCTAAAGATAGGAATTTACCTTACCCCGTTGTGCAAATCATGTAACCGTGTTTTTGCGGGGAAGGTGCTTCTGACATCTACGGCGTTGGATGGGGTGGTGATGGTGAGGTGAGGTTTGCTGACAGGCAGCAACACTATTGGCTCGGATCTTGTGCAATTGTCAGACCACAGATTCGAATTTGAGTTGGCCGTCACGTCAACCGTCTGGAGGGAAAAGACGTTTTGCGACACCTTACCGTAGAAATCTCGTTATTAGCCGGAAGCGGTGCGTGATTGTTGAATTCTTGCTTACATTTGTAAACTTCAGCCAACATCAATTCACATTTACTGCTCCAAAATCTGCACTGCCACGGATTGAAGCATCGTAACAAATACCATACATGTAAATGCCTGACAAGTCAATAGTAATTGCTGAGAGCACTGACAACATGGTGGGTGGTGGGAAGTGCATCACGCACTAGGGGCAAATCCCAAGGTCCAGGCTTCACACCCTCATATAGCCACGGTGCCACTGAATCATTGAACTTGGCAAACATAGGAGAAAGCAGCGCTTCCCAATCAACCTGCAATGCAGAAAATTGCGATGCGCCATATTACTGTACAGTAAAGAACAATAAACTGTGACGAACAATGGAATGCGAGGAACGATCTCTAGAACACGGACATCTTGCCCCATGCCTGCAAGGGTATGTGTTCACATACCTGTACTCCCTTGGGGATGAAAGCAGTGGTTTCCATGTCAGCAGCCAGGGACAGACCCAGAATGGAGATAAGTCCCACCATGGCAGATCCTCTAGTGAGAGGCATGAACTGATACCTGCAGGCAACAAAAGTTGACCAGTCAAACACAACTGAGGCCAAAATGCAGCACAGGTTCCTCGACAAGGCATGCACAGAATGGTGTAACCCCTCTGGCCGGGCAAGAACAGCCATGCACAGTGGGCCGTACTGACCAGAAGTACCCCAGGCGGAGGATGGCGTCTTGAATCCTCTGGCGGTAGCGATGCGGGTCCGCTGCCTCTGTGTGTGCGTCCAGCACTGCCGCACACAGCGCCTGGTGGGAGGGAGGAGGGGGAATCAGAAATGGATGGACTATCATTTCAGAGGCATTTGTGTGTGCATCGGTGCCACACACACAGTGCCTGGTGAGAGTGCATCACAAGGCAAAGAGGAATTTGAAGGAGAGGGATGAGGGAGATAGTTCCAAGGATAGATTCAAGGGAGAGATTTACAAGTGCAGTGCTCCCAGTGCATCTGTGCACACGCACCTCCCATGCTGCTGTGAGCTCCAAGTCAAGGTGCTTCCAACGTGGCCGGTCCACAGAAGTCCGAATGGCAAAGTCAAACGACCGCGCTCTGAGGTACGGGACCAAGCAAACAGGAGATGCACAGGACGTGAACGTTGAGGATGGCGCGGGGAAGAGGAAGAGATTTGGGAGGGGTTGGTGAGTGCGGGCAGCAGGTGCAGGAAATATGGAATAGCATGCTCGTGTGCAGGCTAGTCGAGCAAGAATGGTGAGCACATTGTAAAAACACAGAGGCAGAAGACGCAGGTGCCCACCGCGTGACATGGTAGAATTACAAACACAATGTGAGAGTAGTGTCCCACTCACGATGCGACAATGGAAAACTCCGTCCCCAGAATAGCTTTGCTGGAACACAGATGATAGCAGGTCGAGCAGGAGCCATGCAGGTGGGGTGCGATGGGCAGCCGCCATGCGAGCAGCAGTCATGCAGATGATGGGAGATGAACAGCAGCAGTCATGCAGATGAGGGGAGATGAACAGCAGCAGTCATGCAGATGAGGGGAGATGAACAGCAGCAGTCATGCAGATGAGGGGAGATGAACAGCAGCAGTCATGCAGATGAGGGGAGATGAACAGGGGAAGAGGGGGAGGGAGACAAAGATAAGAGGGGAAAGAGAAAGGATGGTGAGTGGGAGGAAGGTGATGATGAATTCCTGAGGATCGGGTTGATCAGCTAGCGAGTATGACGGCGAGAAATGACATTGAGGCACCTGCACGGTGGTCTTCTTACCCTGGGATGGCTTCGCTGAAGCACTGCGAGTTGATGAAGAAGTCACAGCCCACAACTGCATGGAGCTCCTGCAGAGTCTTGGCCCGCTTGATCTGATGCCACAGGGCAGAGCATGGAGAAATGACAATGAAAGACCACCCCCAGTGCATACGCCTCACTTCCCCCAATCAGTCCTGTAACCTGTTTCTTCCCATCATCATATCCCACATACAATTGTACACCAGCACACCACCTCACACCTTAGATTTTTTCCAGCAGCCCTGTCGGCTCACCTGTTCACCGTACTTGGCCTTTGGAATGCTGAACTTGCCTCCTAGTGCTGCACCCTGAATGAGAGGTGGAGAGAGGCCAGTGGTGGCGAGAAAAGAGGCGAGGATAGTAAGGCGACGGCAAATAGTAGGGGAAGCGCAACACAGTGGAAGTGGCAAAACAGTGGGAGGATCATGGAAAGTCCATTCCATGCCATGGATCGACACCATATCCTCAGTTCGTATTGCACCATAGCATGACCCAACCCATACCATGAGGCCATGCACGCTCCTAGAGATCATGGTCATGCCCGCTGCATTGAGATGAGATGATATTTTGGCGCCAATGAGAGCATACTATGAGTTCCTGCTATAGAAAGTCCCAGCTCATCCCATACCATAAGTTTGCACCATAACGTGCCCCATTTCCCCATACCATGAGCCCGTGCACGCTCTTAGAGCTCATGGTCATGCCCGCCGCATTGAGATGAGATATTGTTCTAGGCGCCTACAAAAACCATAGCATGAGTTTCCATCGTAGCAAGTCCCATCCCATTCCATCCCCTACCATGAGCCCGTGCACGCTCTTAGAGCTCATGGTCATGCCCGTTGCGTTGAAAGCTTCTTCTGCTTCCAGCAGCCGCTGCTTCACCACCTCCAACGTTCTGATTGGTCCATCGGATGGGAGACAGGTGGCATGTGGGACAGGAGATACACAATATGTAGACACAATGCGTTGAAAATTGCGTGATGGCCACAGGGATGTGCTGGGAAAACAATAACAAAGAGTCACACTTTTCAGAGCTAAGCTAAGTCCTACTGGACCACAAATTGTTTAATGTGGTGGCTTTCGAATCAACACAACCATCATACGGGGGCTTTGTTGAGCCTCACCTGTCCGTGAGTGGGTAGTACTTGACGTTCTGCATCTGGCCGACTTTTGAGGTGCCTCAAGAATCTCACCCTGTCCCTTATACCATAGTCAGATTGGGGCTCGGTTGGGCCTCACCTGTCCGTGAGAGGGTAGTACTTGACGTTCTGCATCTGGCCGACCTGGAGGGCGGTCAGGCCGCCATACCCCCTCTCGATCTCGTTCCTGCTTGCAGCACAGCAACACAGACGCACAGCACACGCAGTCAAAAACGATTCCCACGCCCACAACCTCGGAATCAGGCAGGGTGGTGGTGAGTACTCAGGTCGCTCAAATCGCACACACAGCTGTACTCACTCCAGCAGGTCGATCCACGCCACAAGGCCAGTGGGCTCGCCTATCTGCCTCCACGGCACAACAATCACATTAAACACGTCCCTCCAGCCTGACATCAGCTGCTCTCTCCCACCTTCCCTCCCCACTTCCCTCCCCCATTCCCTTCCCCCTTCCTGCATCCACACCCCTTCAATCAAACCTCCATTTTGAGACGTCCCAGGAGTCGGTATACTCACTCCAGCAGGTCAATCCAAGCCACAAGGTCAGTGGGCTCGCCTATCTGCCTCCACGGCACAATCACATTGAACACGTCCCTCCAGCCCGACATCAGCCGCCCTCCCCCCTTCCCGCCTGCACGCCCCTTCAACCCTCCTTTTGCGGCCTTCTCTCCCTTCCTGCTGCCTCCTCGCGTCAGCTTGTAGAACGAGTTCGTGAAAGGCCTTCTTCTCGGCTTTCCCCTCTTGCTGGTTCTTCTCCTGGATTGTGTCAATTCTGAGCTCGTTTCCTGAGGACTGGTCCTGGACCCGTCATCATCCTCATCCCCTCGCTCCTTCTCTTCCCCTCTTTCTACTGCTCCTCCCTCTCCTTCCTCGCCTTCTTCGCCCTCCTGTGCCATCTCCTCCCATGCAGTCCGAACCTGGCATGCCATACAATTGTAAGAAGGGAGGGAAGAAGGAAGGGAGTGGGGAGTGGTTCAGGGGGAAAGTGAGGGCAAACTGGGGGGTGGTGGTCAACAGAAGCGGCAAGGGAATAGGAAAGCGGAGGACAGGGGGAAATAACGGGTCTCACCTGCTGCATTACGTCTAGAGCTGCCAGTCCCGCCATGCGGAACTGCAGGGGGTAGACAAACGACAGCAAGGAAGGGAAGGAATAAAGAGCGCTGACATGGCAATGTGCACAGGCGATGTTCCCCTTGCAGATTGTGCCCCTGCTCCCTCTACCCAGTCAAGCGTCGGAACATCGCACGGTGTACAAGCCAAGACGGACTAAAGAAGACGAGACTACATATTCATGAACACTTCTCACCAGCTCACCTGCCGCTTGTTGGGCATGAAGCCATCCAGAAAGTACTGCGTCCTGCTCCCAATCTTATCAGCCTTGGCGATAATCTCAAGAGCCCCCTCTGACAGCTCAGGCAGGCCAGGGGATTTGCCTTTGCTCCTGGCGCCTGGGGGGAGGTCTAGGGGGCGGTATGTGCGGGGCAGCACTGTTGGTGGTAGCCGGCGGATCCAAGCCTCCTGTGAATGGGGAGAAGAGGGGGGAGTTGAAAAAGAGGGAAGGGGAATGGATGGGGAGGGAGAAGGGGAGTGGGAAGTTATGGGAGGGAATGCTGTTAGGGAAGGAAGAGGGAACGGACAGAAATGGAGAACAGGGACATCAATCAATGTGGCACTGAAGCCACTGTGGGGAGACTCAGAAGCACACAAAAGCCTTACACTGAAGCTGACATCCAGTGAGATGACTATTGATTGTGGCGCCTGCAAAGTCCCCTCACCTTTAATGCGCCTCAACAATTAGAGGCTCACCTTGAAGTTGGTATCGAGATCTTGGTCGATCTGGAAGTCGATGAATGGGCGGGCTAGCTTGGACCACGTGTACGTGGCAATGTCCCTCTGCAAGATGGGCGAGGAGAGAGATTGAGAGGGTATCATGCAGGTGACTTTTGAGTCAAATGAAAGGACATTTGGACCACGTGTACGTGGCAATGTCCCTCTGCAGCATGTGCAAGATACATAGGTGCATAGTGCACGGGGCAAGGCGCATGGTGGATGGTGCACGAGGCAGGGCGCATGGTGCATGGTGCACGGGGCAAGGGGCATAAAGCATGGTGCACGGGGCAAGGTGCATGGTGCATGGTGCATGGTGCAAGGCACATGGTGCACGGGGAAAGGCGCATGATGCATGGTGCACGGTGCATGGTGCACGGGCAAGGTGCATGGTGCATGGTGTGGTGAGCGAGATCAAGAAGAAGATCTACTGGTTGACTTGAAATTCACAAGCAAAGAGATTTGCTAATTGTCTTACAAGCTGAAGGAAAAGGAGGGCAAAGGAGAGAGGGAGGGAGGGAGGGAGAGAGGTAGAGAGGGAGAGGGAGGGAGGGAGGGAGGGAGGGAGGGAGGGAGGGAGGGAGGGAGGGAGGGAGGGAGGGAGGGAGGGAGGGAGGGAGGGAGGGAGGGAGGGAGGGAGGGAGGGAGGGAGGGAGGGAGGGAGGGAGGGAGGGAGGTATGATAATATGGCAACATGAACAAAAAACAAGTGAGACGCACCTGATAAAAAGCCATGGACTGCTGGACCTGCGCATACTCGCTAGCTGCTTGAGCAGGCAGCGTTAAAATCACACTGTATTGCTTTATCTGCAGCAGCCAATAGCGCGGATGCATACCATGTTGAGAGGGAAGGTGGGGGTTTGAGGGGGGGAGGGAGGGGGAGGGGGGGGGGAAGGGGTAGGAAAGTCAAGAAGGTGGCATGTACAGTCCAACACCCAAGATTGTCATGTGTGAAAGTGATATCCACACGTGCATTTAAACAAGATTTGAATAGAAGGCAGCTGGCTCGATTCTGTATGACTGACCCATGCCATGCTAAAGCGATTAGAGAGCCCATGCAATGAATCAGGATACAAGGCACATCTTACTGCAGCATTGTAGTCCCCGACTGCGTGCAGCGAGGAAGCTTCTAGGTAGTTGAGCTCAATGTCCATTGGCCTGAGCTTCAGCCCCTTGTGGGCGTACTTGATGGCATCTCTGATGAGGAGCAAATGAAGAGAGGATACACACAGGCAGATATATGTAGGTAGGGGGAGGGTGCATACAGACGGATAAATGAAGGGAGGAAAGAGTGTGACACGAAGCTGAGTTGAAAACAAGGGGGAAACGAAAGGAGTGGGTAAGTGGGCCAGAAAGGTGATGGGAGCGGAAGGAGAAACGGGGGAAGGAAGGAAGAAGGGGAAGAGGACAACAGAGAAGAAGAAATAGAGCAGGAATGAATGAAGACCCTTGTGATTCCCCGTCTCCCCCCCCCCCCCCCCCCCCCCCCCCCCCCTCTCCCCCTCCCCCCTTCTTGAGCTGGCTCAGCCCTCCAGTGGTCCATTTTGAGTAACCAGTCTCACCTGTGGTCCCCAATGCTTTGCAACTGAAGGCCCAGGCGCAGATATGCCTCTGGTGACCTGCACTCACGCACTCATGCACCCATGCACCCATACATATGTGCATATATGTGAACATGCATGAACACACACGTGCGGACATGCACACTCGCACGCATGCCAACATCCAAACTTGCACACGCACACGCATATGCAGACAGGCACACATGCACACAGTCATCATACATGCATGCTCAAATACAACAAGAAGAAAGCACACACATAGGAACACAGTCACGTTGGCAGGCATAAGTGTAAGCGTAAGTGTAGACACAAAACAGCGTATGTTCTCAGCCCCCTCCACCCACGCACATCCCCCCATCTCCCATTTCTCCCTACCACCACTCCCTTGTGCACAATGCCTTTGCCGCCAACAGTCTCACTGCCTCTAACACTCTGCTGTCACCCACCAGGTCATCCCCCTTTCAACTTCACTCTTCCAGCGCTAGCGCCTTGTTGTGCAGTGCAGCCACTGCAAGGTCCGCCTCCCCCAATCGTTTGACATTCGAGTCGACTCGACACAAGGTGGCTTTTGCATCGACTCAGAAGTCCACCCTCACCCCCTCTTCAACTCACTCTTCCAGCGCTAGAGCCTTGTGCAATGCAGCCACTGCAAGGTCCGCCTGTCCCAACTCCTTGTGCGCGCGGCCCTTGTCACTCCACAGCAGCGCCATTCTTGGGTGCCGCCTCACTGCCTCCTCCATCACTTCAACCGCGTCCCTCCACTGCCCTGCTCCCCCGTAACTCAGGGCCTGTTGTAAGGGGAGGAAGGAATGTGTTTCGAGTATGGACTTGTGGGACTCAGCACAGCACGGGTATGCATGGCTCCTCTGCTGGGATGGTCTCGTCTCGACTGAAGCAGCCAGATCACGGATTGCCTCCTCTGAAGCCCACACTTACCACAGCACGGATGAGCATGGGTTCCTTGTGTTGCCGTTTGAGTGCGACAGTGAGGTCGCTGATTGCCGTCCTAAACGAGGTACGTGAACATATAACTATCAAGCCATCTCAAAACTTACAACGGCACGGATGAGCATGGGGTCCTTGGGCTGGCGCTTGAGTGCGGCAGTAAGGTCGCTGATGGCCGTCCAGAAGTCACCCGCCTGGAAGGCCAGCACTCCTGAAGGCATACGGTATGGAGAGAGAAGCAGAGAATAGCATTCTTCTAGGGAAACTGTCTGTTAGGATGTCTGCTGCTTCCGTAATTGTTGAGTTGACGACTGAAGTCAGAGTGAAATGCCCTCGAAATGGGAAGAGAACAGCCCAAAGCGCAAGGTTTGATCTTCAAGTTACAGGCAAGAACTGACATGACACTCTCTCATGGTCACCTCTGCACTCTCACGACGTAGTGTGGCTCGAGGTGCAGCGCGACTCAAGCATCCCTCACCTCTTTCCTGAATCGTCTCAGGGTGGTTTGGCTCGAGCTCTAGAGCACGAGAGTAGTCGCTGAGGGCGTCTGCCTGCCTCCCCATGGACGAAAGCAGGTGCGCCCGGCGCCTCCAGAAGTCCGCCACATGCGGGTAGCGCTCTGTGCCCTGAGAGGCGTGGGTTTTAAAGAGAAGTGGAGGAGTGTAAGCAGGGAGGAGAGCAGCAGGTGAGTGAGCCTGCCTTCATCAGTATGCCTGCCTCCCCATGGACGAAAGCAGGTGCGCCCGGCGCCTCCAGAAGTCCGCCACATGTGGGTAGCGCTCCGTGCACTGAGGGGTGGTGGAAGCAGGTGGTGAGGAGGGAGCATGAAGGATGAGCGAAAGTGACTCAAGGAAAGTGGAGGAGTGTGAGCATGAAAGAGAGAAGCAGCTGACCTCGCGGTTGAGGAAGAGTAGAAACCGTGGGGAAAGTGAAGCATGATGACCGAACAGCTGAGATCAGAGCAGGCATTTTAGCCAAGACGACTTAGCCACCATCGAAAGTTACTCACCTTGGTGAGGTCCTTGTGTGCCTTATCCTGATGGCCCAGGAATGTGTTCGCGATGCCTCGGCCCAACAGCACGTGCTGTTGCACCTCGGGGTGGTCCACTTTGTCCAGCTGCCAGGGGAGATAATGGAGTGGGGGGTGTCAATACACATAGCGAGGAGGAGCTGGAAGGAGAAAAGCTACCCATTCCTCCCTCAACGAGCCACCAATGAAGAAATATGCATTAATGCTCGCTTATAGCCCCCGTCACTTCTGCTCACCTTACTGAATTCAAGAGCAGCTTCCGAATAACTTCCCTGCCTTAACTGTTGGGTCGAGAACGGATGAAGGGGGAGATAGAGACGATGTCATAAAAAGGTGAAGCAAAGCATGAAGTACAGGGTGTACACGTGAACTGAAGCCACTCCTACGCTCTTAGGTTTTTTCGTTTTGTTTCCTGAACAAAAACGTCGCCAGCCTCACAATGCAGAGCTCCTTCATACCCTTCTCTCTGCTTTTCGACTTGCACCCCAATCAAAGCAGCACACTCATCTCATCTTACCGCATTGAATGCTCTTCCAAGCACCAAGTGGTGTGCGGGATCCGCTCTCGTGCCCTGAGCCCCACTGCCTGGCCCTTGCTTCGCTCCCTTCTGCCTCAGCTGACTCTCCGCCTCTGCCTTCTGCTCTTGCTGCCTCATTATCCGCCTCAACCTCTCCTCTTTCGTCTCCTCTTTACCCTCATCACTCTTTTTCCTCTCTGTCTCTGCTTTTCTCGCTTGTTTCTGCGCCGCCTTCTTCTCTGCTTCCGTTCCCCCAATGTCTCGTGCCTCTTCCAACCCGCTTCTGGGTTTTTCAAATTCCAACCTCTCCCCTGCTCCGCTCTTTGCCCGCCCTCCTTCATCGGAGCTTTCCCCAGAGCCGCCCCCAACAGTTCTCCCTTCTCCCCCTCCAACATCCAGGCGCATCAGAGTGCACAGATCTGCTCCCCCCAGCAGCGGCTTCCCCCCTCGCACAGGGGAGGGGAGATCACAGGGGGGTGGAGGAGGCGAGGAGGAGGGAGGCGGAGGAAGGAGCTTGAGCAGTTTGGTTCCTGTGGCAGGGAGAAGAGGACGGGGAGCGGGGGAGGATGTCACAGGATAAGTTGCGAAAGTGAGTCAATCCAGGTGGATGTGATAGCTGGTCGCAAGTGCAAGGAAGCGGACGGAGTGTGAAGGAAGAGAGGAAACGTCAAGCTATAAATGCGTCCGTGCACCTTTTTTAATGTATGGAAGAAGGCATGTGTGATCATGAAAGCGTTGACGACGTTTGTGCGTTGTCACTTGCTGAGCTGGCACAGACGCAATCAAATGCAGCTCCCAGTCACATAAAGAGGGATTCCTGGGGATGACGTGCGGGTAACGTATAATGGCGAGAAAGGAGTAGAAATTCCACAACGTTGAGCCGAACAGAATCAATTCAGAACGACAAAACTGGAGGAGAAGTGTCGAGACATGAGACGAAGTCTAGAGGAAGCATGAGCTGAATGCGTGGGCTCCTGACGAATTTTGAGTCGTCTCAGAATCCGCGCGCTTATGACAGCGAACAAGGAGACCCATGTGACTGAGCGTTTGCGAATCGCACCATGTGAGTTCTTCCAGAGAAGGAAGCAAACCCTTGGCTCCATTGATCCTCTCATCTTCGTCGCAGCTGCGCGCCGAGCTCGGCAGCACGAACCCCGCTGCCGCCTCCGCCGATTCAACCTCCCGATTGCGAGTTGCGGGAGGGGCGAGATTCGGTGCGGTATAGTAGCGTCCGGTGAAGACATTGCACAGGGTCAGGTTCAGCGAAACGCATACGAACGTCGCACGAATCGCACGAAGCGAAGGCGCCATCCCAAAGGGCCTAAGCGTGGCGGAGTGCTTATTCCGAGGCGCCTCAGAACCATCAGAAAGAGCGGACGGATGGACTAGCGCCTACGATGGGTTACGAGGTTTCGGCGTTCTTATGAGGGCCGCATAGATGTCCCGCGACAAAGTCGGAGTGAAAAATACCACTTCGGTTCTGCTTGACGGGCTTAGGCGACGCGACTGGGAGTAGTGACGAGTGGTCCTGGTCCTGGCAACACCGACAGGTCAATCCTCGCATTATAGAAGCTCGCTACAAGCTTGTAAGAGAAAATGGATTACAAAGTAGAGGATGCTTGCCCACTCACATTTGCAAAGTGAGCTGTGACACCCCTAAATCTGCACTTCGGAGGCTTGAAGCATCCAGATTAATATGTGATATCTGACATATTATATGGTCTGACAGGTCAATACAATCTGCATTGGAAATATGTGTTTTGAAAAGTGCATCATGCACGTGAGGCAAGTCCCAAGGTGCAGGCTTCAATCAAGCCCTCATATAGCCATGTCGCTGCAGAACTGATAAACGTTGCAAACGCTAAATAAGAGGTGCTTCCCAATCAACCTGAAATGCACACATTTAGGATACATAAACCATAATCACAATAAAGAACACTTAAAAGAAAAATAATCCAGGACTTGAGGGCTTCTTGATGAGTGCGAGCGAGGGTGTGAAAGAACGCACCAGCACTCACTAAAATATAAGCAGTGGTTTCCATGTCAGCAGCCAGGGAGAGGCATGAACTGATACCTGCAAGCACCGGAAATTCATCAGTCATTCACAATGAGGCCAAAATACAGCAGCGATACCCCGAACCAGGCGTGCACAGAACGTTGTAACTTCACCGAACCAGGCATGCACAGAACGTTGTAACCTTACTGACCATTCATTAGATGGTTCAGGTCGAGTTCCTTTACGATCTATGCATCACTGCTCAGACTGGTGGGTAGCGGTTCAATCCTCATTGACTGTGTCTTGCATCAGGCAGTCAGTACGTCACAGACGCAACTGATGAGAGGACCCACAACCAGAATATTGGACATTGAACTTGTTGAGGATTGTTGGTGGTAAAAATGCATGATTCCGAACAGCCAGCACAGCATGAGCATGATTCTGGAGTAAGTATGACTGATAATGTGAATAAAATTCAACTCCTTACAGATTCCTGCAATGACAGTCACTCTGTAAGTGAGCTAAATTCTTGATTGACTTCACACTCACCGATACATGATCCACAGAAGATTGTAGATAACGGACAACACACTGCATTGTTAATAAGGGACTCGCTCGTCATTACCTGCAGAACACAGCTGAGTCGTTAGTTCTAAGCTATGCTCAAGCAATCAACTATGTTCATGGAGTACCTGCACTCGGATCATACTCGGTTGTATCTGTATCTTGTCCATAGCGTTGATAGAGCCGGCATTCCGATTCAAGCTAGTCAAAAAACTCCTGAAGCGGAACTTCGGGTTCAGCCAGATTCTCGCGCCATTATGGCTAGTTACCTGGAACGGTCACAAGGCTCTTGCTGACAATAACCTGAAAATGCAGTAGATGTCAATGCATAATCATTGCGTGAAGCATCTAAAGTTTCACGCGTGAATGGCACGGAATCTATGACTCACAGAAAACTGTCTGATCGCGTCCACGCGTAAGCAAACCGCATTCTCGAGAATGGACTCGATGAATATGAGCTTCGGAAGTTTGTTATCGATCTTCGAAGAGATGACTGTAGGGTGCATAATCAGCATCAAACTCACGACGAATCATGGATTGAAAGCCTGAGACAACCCGCTGCTCCTGTCACAAACTTATTTATCGAGAAGCGCTGATAATGTGTGTATCTCGAAAGATCTCCATCCATGGTGTGACCGAGTTCGCATCATGGGTGAGCCAGACCAGGTGCTGTCTGAAGAATGAGCACGTGATTCCCTTCGGGAGTTTGTTCGTGAAATGTGTGTTTCTGCCATGCTTGGATTTGGATAGGATCAGCAACAACACCCGTCAACATCGAGGCACCGCCGCGAACCACTTCGCGAAAGGAGACGGGTGTAGTGTTCAGGAAAAGCTTTTATAAGTGATAAATTTCATCTTCCTAGATAGCACACACTATATCACAATACTTGCATAAATTAACCAACACCAGGACACACATCATTTGTAGCTCAGAGCAGCCAGTACGTGGCGTGTGGTTGGCAGCACCTCTCGCAAAATAGGGAGGTGCCAAGGCGACCGCTTAACAGAAGAATAGAGCCACGGAGCAACCGCATCGTAAAAGTCTTGGAAGCGAGTTGCAAACAGCCCTTCCCAGTCAACCTGACATACACCAGCAAGCACATTGTGACCCCCCAAAATGAATGTATTTATATTTTAAAAGCAGGCTAGCCAATAATTAACCCTTACGCCTCGCGATGTGGTGGTGCGTCTCATTTACCACATTGTCTTTTATGCTGAAGTGATTCACGTGAAAATATGGAGAGATGTGAAGCGGAAGTGCTACCAGCAGCACTAGATAGACTCACCAGGACATCCCTTGGGATGCGCGTTGTGGTTTGCATGTCAGCAGCCATGGAGAGGCCGAGGATGGAGACCAGCCCCACCATGGCGGACCCGCGGGACAGCGGCATGAGCTGGAACCAGTAGTAGCTGATGCGCAGAATGCCCTCTCTGATGCGCTGCTGGTACAGGCTGCTGTCTGTTGCCCGCGTGGGCAGATCCAGCACTGCCGCTGACAGGCTCTGGATCGGGGAAGGGTTACATGGGGGAGAGGAGAGAGAGGGGGAGAGGGGGAGAGGATAATGAGTTATAAGGGGAGTGTGGTGCCTAGAAGCACAAGCATTAACAGTGCCATCAGCGTACCTACCACCCGCACTTCCACTGCTTGCACCAGCAGCACAGCCAGCACCGGTACCAGCAGCACAAGCAACGCTATCAGCAGAACCATCACCAGTACCAGCACCAGCAGCACATGCACCAGCACCATGCAGTAACACGCACCTCCCAGGCTGAAGTGAGCTCGTCATCCAGCTGGCCCCACTGCGTGGCAGAGTTCTTGGTGTATGTCTGGAAGTCAATCGACAGCACAAGCAGCACCAGCACTACCAGCACAGGCACCACCACCACCAGTACCACCAGTAGCAACACGCACCTCCCAGGCAGCAGTGAGCTCGTCATCCAGCTGGCCCCACTGCGTGGCAGAGTTCTTGGTGTATGTCTGGATGTCGATTGACAGCACAAGCAGCACCAGCACTACCAGCACAGGCACCACCACCACCAGTACCACCAGTAGCAACACGCACCTCCCAGGCAGCAGTGAGCTCGTCATCCAGCTGGCCCCACTGCGTGGCAGAGTTCTTGGTGTATGTCTGGATGTCGATTGACAGCACAAGCAGCACCAGCACTACCAGCACAGGCACCACCACCACCAGTACCAGCAGCAGCAGCACTCACCTCCCAAGCGGCAGTGAGCTCGTCATCCAGCTGGCCCCACTGCGTGGCAGAGTTCTTGGTCCACGTCTGGAAGTCAACTGACAGCGCCCTGTGGAGCAAGGCACGCAGGATGGGTGGGTTGGGAAAAAAAACTTGGGTTGTGGGGTATCAGGCTTGAAATGGTGGGGCGAAACAAGCGTAAGAGCACGAAAAACACACAGCGTTTGAGATTGCAGCGACATCTGCTATACATGTCTACATTTTTACATACATACACGCACATACACAAAGATACAGATGTCTCAAAAGGGGGACAAGCAGAAGTGAGAGCACGGGAAACAAACAGACAGAGGTGGCTTCAATGGGCCACAGACAGAGGAGGTGCAGGGAGGTGAGTGCTCACTTCTTTTCCAGCTTGAACTCTGTTCCGTGCAGGATAGTCCTGCTTGTGGGGGAGAATAGGAGCACAACGGTGAGAAAGAAAGAGTAGAGTTGGAGACAGGGGGGTGGGGACGTAAAATGCAGCAGCCAATGTGCATAACAGCATCAGACAAACTTGTGCCATCATGCGAGCACACAAATCACATGGAATATGAAGGCCAGCATAGAGGTACGGAAAATCACGTTGTGAATTAACTGACCCAGGTTTGGCCATGCTGTGCAAGGGCAGGCGCGAGTAGAAGTCCCGACCGATTGCATCATACAGCCCCGCATGGCCCTTTGCTGCTTCTATCTGCCTCACACAGAGCAGGGAAGCATGTAAGGGAAAAACAGTGTGTGGTGAGTGTGGGGCATTGGAAACAAGGTGGAAATCAAAAGGACACCAAGAAAGCCACTCAATGAATGCAGTCTCCGAGACGACACAGCAAGGCAAGAGTGGCGGATGCAGGTTACGTGGGGAGACATTCCATTACGCGGATTCTAAGAATCCGCTTACAACTGTACATGGCACACCTTGTCTGCCAGCTTTCGGCGACTCCCTGCCTGTCTGCCTGTCTGTCTGTCCCCCGTGACACATACCGACCCTAGGTGCGCTGCAATCAGTTTGCCATCCTCGTCCAGTGGCCTCTGCCCCTCCAGCAGCCCCTTCGCGTCACCCCTCTAGTGCCCTGATGGCCTCACGGTGAGGCAATTAAGAAACGCACCTTGGGTCCATAAGTGTCGCGGGGGACAGGAATGACATTGCCATCCTCATCCAGTATCTCCTGCCCCTCCAGCAGCCCCCGCCGTGTCACCTCCACTGCCCTGATGGACTCATGGTGAGGCCGTTGAGAAAACGGTGGACGGAGGGGGAGGGAGGTGGGAAGCAGAGAAAAGGTCGGAGAATGGACGGAAGGGCATGACTCACAAAACCATGCCACCAGTTCATTCAAGTTAACAATCCAAATTCCACATGCATCACTATATGCTAGCGTGTGAGTTGGTGCACAGGGCAGCACCGCAGAGTGGCACAGATGGACCGCGCCTATCATAAACGGAAATGTACTGTACTTTTGAGTCGACTCAAAAGGCGCTGGGTGGGTTCCAAGGGTGAATGGCAATGCACGCTTTGAGGCGTCTCAAAAGTCGTCTACATGCCACCGCACCTACAGGGCAGGGCACCACCGCACCTGTCATAAATAGCATTGTATTTGGCACTGAACTGCTTCCACGTGTGGATGGGAGTGTGCGAATGAAAGGTTCCCTGAAAGCGCTGGTTCCTGCAATGCAGGTGGGGGCAGCACAAGGGCAGCACAACACAAGGGCAACACAGGGCACACCTGTCATAGATGGCATTGTATTTGGCACTGAACTGCTTCCACGTGTGGATGGGAGTGTGGGACTGGAAGTTGCCCTGGAAGCGCTGGTTCCTGCGAGTGGGAGCAACACAAGGGTGAAGAAGAGAAGCAGCAGTCACTCAGAGGGCGTTCAGAGGTCGTTCAGGGGAGAACATCTCAAGTCGCTGCAGTGCAATCCATACATATCCATCACAGGTTCAGCAAATTTGTCTACACCTACGGAAATAGAAATGAAAGGTAGAAACGAAGAAGGAGCAGTCAAGAGGCAGGTAGCAGCAGAGGGGGCCAGGCGGACTTGAAAATGGCCTTCCAGAGGAGGGAAGAGTCGGCAGCGAGTAAACAGGAGGGAGTGAGCAAAGGTGGGACGGACAGAAGCACTTGAACATGGCCTTCCAGAGCGGTGGCTCGGTGGGGTCGGAGAGTTGGCACCATGACTTGGAACAGCTGCCTCCAGCTGCCCACCAGCTGCACTAACTAGCTCTCTCCACTCCCACTACACCCACCGCTCCCACCACTCCCACTGTGGGACGGACTTACTTGAACATGGCCTTCCAGAGCGGCGGCTCGGTGGGGTCAGAGAGCTGGCGCCACGGCACCATGACTTGGAACAGCTGCCTCCAACTGCCCACCAGCTGCACTGACTCGCTCTCTCCACTCCCGCTGCTCCCACCGCTGCCTGAAAAACGACTCCACGGCATCCGAGGGGGCGATGTGAGCCCCTCGCCATCCTTGTCTCCCTCTCCCTCTCGCCCTTCCCCCTCCTCCTCCTCGTCTTCGTCGTTCGTGATGCTGGGCAGGCGGCCCTCATCTGCTATGGCCTCCCATGTGGCGCGCACGCGCTGCATCACGTCTAGAGCTGCCAGCCCTGCCATGCGCAGCTGGAGTGGGTGAAAAGGGAGGGGATGGGAGGATTGGGTCGGGGGTGAGGGGGGTGGTGGGTTGTGGGGCACGATGCTGGGCAGACGGCCCTCATCTGCTATGGCCTCCCATGTGGCCCGCACCCATCAGGTTCGTCCCCATCAGGTTCGTCCCCATCAGGTTCGTCCCCATCAGGTTCGTCCCCATCAGGTTCGTCCCCATCAGGTTCGTCCCCATCAGGTTCGTCCCCATCAGGTTCGTCCCCATCAGGTTCGTCCCCATCAGGTTCGTCCCCATCAGGTTCGTCCCCATCAGGTTCGTCCCCATCAGGTTCGTCCCCATCAGGTTCGTCCCCATCAGGTTCGTCCCCATCAGGTTCGTCCCCATCAGGTTCGTCCCCATCAGGTTCATCTAAAAGTGTGTATTGAGTCTAGCGTCGAGACGCTGCGTCTAGACGCATGGCGTCTAGCATCTAGCAAGACGCGTCTAGCATCTTCCGCAACTCAGGTGCCACGTGTCTCACCTGCTGCTTGTTTGGCATCACACCATCGGTATCGTAGTGCGCCCGCCAGCCAATCTCATCCGCTGCTGCGATCACAGCCAACGCCTCCTCTGACAGCTGTGGCAGTAACTGCCACGTGGCACCCTCCAATTGGCTGGCGGGGACAGAGAGTTTCTGGTAGTTGGGCAGGCCTGGAGGCACCCTCCTGTTCAACCACGCCACCTGCCATATCAATGACAGGCAACAGCAGTCAACGTCAGTCAACAGCAGTCAACGTCAGTCAACAGCAGTCAACGTCAGTCAACAGTCAACGTCAGTCAACAGTAGAGCATGGCATGCATAGCGGGTCCAGCAAGCAAAGCACAGAGCGTGGGTAGGGGCTGTAAGCATGCATGCATACATGTCATGTCATGGTGGAATGGCATGGTACACACCTTGAAGTCCACATCCATGTCGTCGTCTATCTGGAAGGCTGAGGAGAAGGGCCGGTGCAGCATGGAGCACTGGGGAAGGAAATCGGGCCATTGCAATTCAAAGCATGCAAGGCACACACCTTGAAGTCGACGTCCATGTCATCATCTATCTGGAAGGCTGAGAATGGCTGGTCGAGGCGAGCCACCGTGTACAGCAGCACCTCCCTCTGAAGAGAAGCAATCATAAGAGAAGAGCATTGGCAATAGGTCAAGCGGAGCAGGAAGGAGAGGGTGTTGAAAAGGGAAGGTGCAGCAAGGGCATTGGGGAAACACACAAGGTGGCGAGCAGGAGGGATGAGAGGATACGGGCGGGGCGAGCAGGGAAAACGTGCAGACAGGGCGATTACAAGGAACGAGCAGGTGGAAGGAAGGAGTGGGGTGGATGGTACCTGGTAGAAGGCGAGGGGTGGAGGGCACCTACCTGGTAGAAGGCGAGGGGTGGAGGGCACCTACCTGGTAGAAGGCGAGGGGTGGAGGGCACCTACCTGGTAGAAGGCGAGGGGTGGAGGGCACCTACCTGGTAGAAGGCGAGGGGTGGAGGGCACCTACCTGGTAGAAGGCGAGGGGTGGAGGGCACCTACCTGGTAGAAGGCGAGGGGTGGAGGGCACCTACCTGGTAGAAGGCGAGGGGTGGAGGGCACCTACCTGGTAGAAGGCGAGGGGTGGAGGGCACCTACCTGGTAGAAGGCGAGGGGTGGAGGGCACCTACCTGGTAGAAGGCGAGGGGTGGAGGGCACCTACCTGGTAGAAGGCAACTGCCTGGTTGAACGTCATGTGCTGCTCTGTTGCCGTTGAGAGGAGATGGTCGTAGAAGGAGAGCTGCCAAGGGCAAATTAGAAGGGGACAGAGGAGCGATTGACAGAGGGACAGAGGGACAGTGGGAGAGAGGGAACAAAGCAGATGAAAAGCGCGCACGTAGAGCAGCTTTGACAGCCATAGTGGCCACATCTCTGAACCATCAACATCCATAGCATTCACATCTGTAGCAGTGACCCACGGCTGCAGCAGAGACTCACAGCTGTAGCAGCAGTGACTCACAGCTGTAGCAGCAGTGACTCACAGCTGCAGCATGGTCGCCCAGGGCGTGGTGCATGGACGCCCGCACGTACAGCAGCATTGGCAGAACACCAACATCTGTAGCTTAACTCACGGCTGTAGCAGTGACTCACGGCTACAGCATGGTCGCCCAGGGCATGGTGCATGGAGGCGCGCACGTACAGCAGCTCCTCATCCTCTGGACGGAACGCCAGCCCCTTGTTGCACCACTCGATGGCACCCCTGTGCGGTTAGGTTGGGTGCGGTGCAGAGGGGTGGAGATACGTGGAATGAGTTTCTAGGTGTAGAGCTGGGACAGAAACACACAGAAAACATACCCAGCCCTTATTCTGAGTTCATGGTGTAGAGCTGGGTCCTAGAATGGTGTAGAACGGGATCATTGAAACTCCTTTCCCTGGCTCACCAGTGATCCCCTTGATATCGCCTCGTGGCTACCAGGTTGCGGTATGCACCAATGTTCCTGCCATCGCACACAACACAACCACACACAATCACGCACAACCACGCACAACCACACACAACCACACAGGAAAAAAACAGAGATAAGAAGCTAAAACTTAGCTCCAACAGCCAGAGCAAATGACTGCAGCCCCCTCACTCCCCTCCCCACCCATCCACCCCCTCCCCTCGTCTTCCCTCCCTCCCCCCACCTACTCTTGCACAGAGAGCGCCATGAGCAGCGAGTCCATGGCCTTATCCCCCTCCCCAGGATGCGGTGTGTGATGCCCTTCTGCACCCACGCCTCGCCCTCCACTGCGTGTGCCTTCTCTGCATGTGCCTCCCCCGGGTGTGCCTCCCCTGGGTGTGCCTCCCCTGGGTGTGCCTCCCCCGGGCGTGCCTCCCCTGGGTCCGCCTGTACAGCTGCCTCCCAGAACGGCTGTGACTCGCGGTAGCGGTTGAGGCGCAGCAGCGAGTGCGCCACCTGCGTTAGCAGCTGGGTGTTGGTGGGGTCACGGGTGAGCGCCGGGATGAGGTCCTCGAGGGCTGCTGCGTAGTGCTCTATCTCAAACGCACTCATGCCTGTGATGGGGGGTTGTGGGGGGTTGCAGGGGGGAAGGGGAGGGAGAGGTTGGTGAGAAAGCCCGGAGCCGCAGCAGCAGTGAGTTCGCCACCTGCATGAGCAGCTGGGTGTTGGTGGGGTCGCGGGTGAGCGCCGGGACGAGGTCGTCGAGTGCCGCTGCGTAGTGCTCTATCTCAAACGCACTCATGCCTGTGATTGGTGGGGGGGTGGGGGGGACGGGGTAGGAGGAGGGGTGGTTAAGGGAGGCGCAGCAGCGAGTACGCCACCTGTGTGATATTAACGGCTGCATATGTGGTGGCGAGGTGGTGTGCTATTCGAGAAAACGCACGAGCTTTTCCTTCCCAACGTGGCATTTCCCCGCCTTACCTCGGAACCGCCGAGCCTTGTCGTTGTGAGGGTCGAGCTCCATTGCCCTGACAAACGCATTGTGCGCCTGATGGGGGCATGGGCATGGGGGAACGAAGGATGCAGGATGCAGGAGAGAAAGAGAGGTGGGTTGTTAGGAGAACCAGCTGTTGTTGTGGGGATCTAGCTCCACTGCCTTGACAAAGGCACTGTGCGCCTGATGGAGGGTGGGGCACGCATGGGGGAAGGATGCAGGTCGCAAGAGAGCAAGAGAGCATGAGAGCACGAGAGGATGAAAGGATGGATGGAGAGTGCAGAATGCGGACGGACATGGCTGGCGTGGAGAGTGACACAAGAGCCTGGCGCACTCACGTTGGCATAGTCGTTCAGAAGCGTGTACTCCTGCCCCAGCTCCACCCAGTAATTTGCCTTGTGCGGCTGCTTCTCCACTGCCTGCAGTGAGCACAGCAGTGAGCACAAGAGATAAGGAGAGGGTGAGGTGAGCGTCGTGGGTACATCATGCATGCTCTCTCTCTTTCTCACACACGCACGACACAAGCACAGGCGCACGCACACAGGCTGGGATTCGCGCAATTCTCACAAAGTTGCATGACAAAAGCGCATCTCCCTTCCTTTCATGGATCGAATTAACCAGGTTACTGGGCAACATAGTTGCAAACTCCTCCAGTGCTCGCCATAACCCAATTCCACTCGCCTGCTTCAAGTCCAGAGCCGCCTGCTGGTGCTGCTTCAGCATGGAGCGAGCAACGCCCCTGCTGTGCAGCATGGAGCCGTAGAGGCGCGAGAGAACCGCGTCCAGCTGAGCGGTGAGAGGGGGCGGGGCGAGAGAGGGGGTCACACGAGGACAAGGCAAGGCAAGGGGGTCATTTTGAGTGTGAGTCACTGGCAGGTGCCCCTGCCGTGCAGCATGGAGCCGTAGAGGCGCGAGAGAACCGCGTCCAGCTGAGCGGTGAGGGGAGGCGAGGGAGGGAGGGAGGGGGTCACACGACGACAAGGCAAGGGGGGGTTAATCGAATGTGGGTCAACTGAAAGGTGCCCCTGCCGTGCAGCATGGAGCCGTAGAGGCGCGAGAGAACCGCGTCCAGCTGAGCGGTGAGGGGAGGCGAGGGAGGGAGGGAGGGGGTCACACGACGACAAGGCAAGGGGGGGTTAATCGAATGTGGGTCAACTGAAAGGTGCCCCTGCCGTGCAGCATGGAGCCGTAGAGGCGCGAGAGAACCGCGTCCAGCTGAACGGTGGGGGGAGGCGAGGAAGGGGATCACACGAGGACAAGGCAAGGCAAGGGGGTCATTTTGAGAGTGAGTCACTGGCAGGTGAATCAGATACCACATGGAAGGTAACGAAGCGGAATGCTGACCTTATCGTACAAGTCGATCGCCTCCTCATAGTTCCTCGCCTTGAGCTGTTGAGGCACGATGCGCGTTGTGTGATGACAGGATGTGAACGGGCATACAGGGATAGAGCAGAGTGGAGCGAGCTGGATTAGTATGGAGCAAAACTGATTGCAATGGAGCGAAAGGGAGCGAAAGGGAGCGAAAAGGGGCACACACAGGATCGCATACGATAAGCATTGAATACAAATGCGTGGACGCGTTGAGTTGAGCGGGAAACCCGGATCGACAGAGAAAATCACCTTGGCATGTCCGTCTGCCAATAATGCGTACGGATCCACGCGAGCCTCCACGTCTTCACCGGATAAGCCGTCCACATTTGAACCGTTCACGTCCTTTCCTGCTGTCGCTGCTGCTTCCGCTGCGATGTCGCCATTCGCGTCGCATTCCCCGGCGACGGCGCATGTACCCGGTAATTCGTCGGCTCCAAATTGCGATAAGGTGAGCAGAAGGAAGAAGAGAATCGACAGGAGCTGCATAGGCGATAGCGTGGACTGCTTTATAGTGCGCCGTGAGTCCATGCTGTCAGAATATCGATTACGATGCACTGTTCACCGCATTTCCGCAGAGTTACACACTACCGTTAGAAATAATTTCCTACCGAAACCAATCTACCGCCTGGTGCTCGCAGTTACCTTGCGTGATTGACGGCGCACGCTATTGACTAAGCCGTAATGCTAGTGTGGGCCACGCTACAAAACCAAACTTCATCCTCCATACAAGGATTTCGAGGTCGTACACCAAGGCTCTAATCTGCTCACCCTAACACAGGAATAACATTTCAAGTGCAAAACCATTTGTAGATGAGGCCGATGGACCATTTTCTCTCTAGAGGTGCATTGGAAGGGTTTTTTATTATTTTTTTTCCTTCCTTTTCCACTAGATCTGAATATCTCATACAAGTGCTCACCTCATACAAGTGATCATATGCTTAGATCATATGCTTATCATATGCTCACTTGCTTGGATCAACTCGTCACTTACGACGTGTTGCGACCCACCCGGGTCGGGTCGGGTCGACCAGGTCGGGTAGACCCGACCCGACCCAACCCAGCAGAAAGGCGACTCGAAAAGACAAAGAATTTCTCGTCGCCTTCGTTGCATATTCGATGTAAAGAGAAAGCAAGTGCTGCGCGGGTGGGTTGTGGGCGAGGCAATGTTTGGCGACATTACCGGGTATATTTTTGTTAAGCGAGATACAGGTGACATCCGCGCGAGAACAAAAAATTTCGCAGGTCAGGGTAACCAGCTCCCGGTTGGGTTGGGTCTGGTCGGCCTGGTTGACCCGACCTGGTCGACCCTGGTTGGGCAGACCCGGGTTGGTTTGGGTCGGGTCGACCTGGTCGGGTAGACCCGCGATGCAGCTTTCCTAGAAATTCGGGATCGGGGGCTGATCGACCCAACCCGGGTGGGTCGCAACACGTCGTTAGACCAAATCGTCACCAAGGCTAATTTATCAAGGTAAATCACCCTGATTGTCAAACTGTATGTGCTGCATATTGTCTAGGCTGTAGTGGGGTAGCCCATATGGGTTACAACCAAATTAGGGTTTACTACTTGTACTCCTGCATCCTGCTAGTTCACACCATTCCTGCTGCTAGATTCTAACATGGTTTCAGAGCACTAAGGTCCGTAGGACCGTTTTTTTTCGGGCCCACCTACCGCTGCGGTTACCGCGCTACCCCACGTACCTGCCTGCCTTGCCTTGCCTTGTGACGTGCTGCACATGCGCTGCCTCCTGCTGCCCTAGGCCAGCGCGCTGCCCCTAGAGGCCCGTAAGGCCCGCGCGCCGCCTCTACACGCCCGTCAGGCCCGCACACAGCCCCTGCAGACCGTTAAGCACGCTGCTGCCGCGCGCTGCCCGCACCGAGACCGCGCAGCCCGCACCGAGTCGCGCGCAGCCCGCTGCAGCCGCGCGCAGCCCGCACCGAGTCGCGCGCAGCCCGCTGCAGCCGCGCGCAGCCCGCACCGACCCGCGCGCAGCCCGCTGCAGCCGCGCGCAGCCCGCACCGAGCCGCGCGCAGCTCGCAGCTGCCGCGCGCAGCCCGCGCCGAGCCCACGCAGCCCGCGTCGAGCCGCGCGCGGCCTGCTACGGCCTCGCGAGGCCCGCGCGCGGCCCGCAGCAGCCCGCGCCGAGCCGCGCGCGGCCTGCTACTGCCTCGCACGGCCCGCGCGCGGCCCGCAACAGCCCGCGCCGAGCCGCGCGCGGCCCGCTACTGCCTAGCGCGGCCGCGCGCGGCCTGCAGCAGCTCAGCGCGCTGTCAGCGCAGCCCGCGCCGAGCCGCGCGCGGCCCTCTGCCTCGGCCCCGACCTGCCGCTGATGCGGCCCCGCCCTGCAGCTGCCACGGCCCCGACCTGCCGCTGATGCGGCCCCGCCCTGCAGCTGCCACGGCCCCGACCTGCCGCTGATGCGGCCCCGCCCTGCAGCTGCCACGGCCCCGACCTGCCGCTGATGCGGCCCCGCCCTGCAGCTGCCACGGCCCCGACCTGCCGCTGACGCGGCCCCACCCTGCTACTGCCGCTGAAGCGGCCCCGCCCTGCAGCTGCTTCGGCCCTGCTCTGCAGCCGGTGTTGCGGCCCCGACGTCGCCGCTGTCGAGCGCCGGCCCTGCTCGCCCGGTGAGCGCCTGCTCTCCCAGCCTTTGGTGAGCGACTGCCTGCCTGCCTGACGGCCTGCCTGTCTGCCTGCCTGCCTGCCTGCCTGGCTGCCTGCCTACCTGCCGGCCTGCCTGCCTGCCGGCCTGCCTGTCTGTCTGCCTGCCTGCCTGCCTGCCTGCCTGCCTGTCTGCCTGCCTGCCTTCCTGCCTGCCTGCCTGCCTGCCTGCTTGCCTGCCTGCCTGCCACGCCTGCCCTGCCCGCGCTGCTGCTGCTGCTGCTACTGCTACTGGCAGGTGGCCAGATGCAGCTCCAGCGACGTTCACGCGAGCCTCTCACGCCCCAGCAGCTTAGTGAGTGGTATACTAGCTGGGGTTGTCGCGGTAGCCGTCGTAGCTGTCGCCCTGGGGCTGGTCAGTTGGGAGCGTCTAGCAGTGGCCAGCTGCAGCTGCAGGGGCGTCCACGCGAGCCACTTACGCCTCGGCAGCTCCAGGAGTGGTACGCTCAGTGTAGCAGGTCTACACGTACAGTTCGCTGCCCGTACGTCATTCGCACAGGTGCTAGGACTGGTCAGCCTTGTGGGACGCTTGGTCACACACAGTCCCGCTGCTTCGCCCGTCTGAGCGACGACTGGCGCACAGTGTTTGGCGACGAGGCTGAGCTCCCCACTTGGCCGGAGCTGCATGGACAGAGGGTAGATATCTTTGCGCTTGACTATGATGCTATTCTCACTGCCATGTATGCCTTGTCTACTAGTGCTGACCGTGCCTGTTACCTGTGCGTACCGCCTGACCCTGGTGAGGCTGCTGCCCTAGGTGCTAGTGCGTCTCCTGCTCTAGGTGCTGGTGAGGCTGCTGCTCTTGGTGCTAGTACGTCTACTGCTCTAGGTACTGGTGAGGCCGTGGCTTCAGGTGCTGGTGAGTCTGCTCTCTCTGGTACTGCGCCCACTGCGGTCTCGCACACCTTCACCCTTGACTCAGGAGCTTCCTGCTCCTTCTTTCGCGACTGCACCGCACTCACGCCGCTCAGTCGGCCAGTCCCGGTCTCCCTGGCGGACCCCTCTGGGGGTCCAGTCCTTGCCCACCACTCCACGGTTCTGCCGTGTCCGGCCGTCCCGTCTGGCTTCCTGTCAGGTCTTTACCTCCCCTGCAGACGCTCCACCTGGACGTGTGGGGCCCAGCCCGCGTTCAGGGACAGGGCCACGAGCGGTACTTCCTGCTGGTTGTCGACGACTACACGCGTTACACCACGGTCTTCCCCTTGCGGAGCAAGGCGGATGTCCCTGCTGTTTTGATCCCCTGGATCCGCGCAGTTCGTCTCCAGCTCCGCGAGCGGTTCCGGTCGGACTTTCCTGTCCTGCGTCTGCACTCTGACAGAGGTGGTGAGTTCTCCTCCAACCTCTTGGCAGCCTACTGTGCGGAGCACGGCATCACCCAGTCGTTCACGCTTCCGGCCTCTCCGCAGCAGAATGGGGTTGCTGAGCGCCGCATTGGCTTAGTCATGGAGGCCGCTCGTACCTCCCTGATCCATGCGGCTGCCCCCCATTTTCTGTAGCCGTTTGCGGTCCGGTACGCCGCGCATCAGCTCAACCTCTGGCCCCGTGTCTCCTTGCCGGAGACCTCGCCCACACTGATGTGGACGGGGAAGGTTGGCGATGCGTCGCGTTTCCGGGTCTGGGGTGCTCGTGCCTTTGTCCGCGATACCACCGCGGACAAGCTCTCCGCCCGCGCTGTTCCCTGTGTCTTCCTTGGCTTTGTCCCTGACGCGCCTGGTTGGCAGTTTTACCACCCCACCTCGCGCCGTGTCTTTGCGTCTCAGGACGTCACGTTCGACGAGTCGGTTCCCTTTTACCGTCTCTTCCCCTACCGCACTACCCCGCTCCCCCCCCCCCCCGCCGCTCTTCCTCGCTCCAGGTGCTCCCCAGGTAGACCCCCTCCCCGCTCCCGGTCCTGCTCCTTCAGGTGTTTCTCAGGTAGACCCTCCTCCCTTGACTGCGCCGGTTGAGGTCACTGGTGACTCAAGTCCTATTGAGAGTGGTCCTGCTCGTGGTGCTACTTCTGGGGGTGCTGAGCCTGGGGGTGCGGAGCCTGGGGGTGCTGAGCCTGGGGGTACTGAGCCTGAGGGTGCGGAGCTTGAGGGTGTAGAGCCTGGTGGTGCTGAGCCTGAGTGTGAGGGGTCTGGGGGTGCTGAGCTTGGCGGTACTGACGCTGGAGGTTCTGGAGCTACTGAGGGTGCTGGCGCTGGAGGTTCGGGAGCTGCTGGAGGGCCTAGTACTGGTGGCGCTGGAGCTGGAGGTTCTGGAGCTGCTGAGGGTGCTCGCGCTGGAGGTTCTGGAGCCGCTGGAGGTACTGGTGCTGAGGGTACTGACACCGGAGGTTCTGGAGCCGTTGGGGGTGCGGGCGCTGAGGGTTCTGAGTCTGCTGTTGCGCGGTCTCCTTGGAGTGGCCGCCTTCGTCCACGTGTGCCTCTCACCCCACAGCAGCTGCAGGACTGGTACGGTCGCCGTCAGCGTCGCGCTGCTGGAGCTAGGAGTCGTGCTGGTCCTTTGTCTACTGGAGGTGCTGGAGTTGCTGGTTCTGGAGGTGCTCGTGCTGGAGACACTGAGGCTGGAGACCCTGGGACTGGAGGTGCTGGCTCTGGGGGTGCTGCTGCTGGAGACACTGAGGTTGGAGACCCTGGGGCTGGAGGTGCGGGTGCGACTGCTGGAGACCCTGAGGTTGGAGACCCTGGGGCTGGAGGTGCTGGTTCTGGGGGTGCTGCTGCTGGAGACACAGAGGTTGGAGACCCTGGGACTCGAGGTGTCGGCTCTGGGCCTGGAGCTTCTGGAGCTGCTGGAGGTACTGGAGCTGCTGGAGGCACTGGAGCTGCTGGAGCTGCTGGTACTG